CCGATTAAAAATGAAGAAGTAATTAAAATTGTAATTAAATTCAAGTTTAAATCTTGAATTAGATATGGTATAACCATTATATTTGATACAACATAGCTCTTACAAAATTTGAGAACAAGAATCAAAGTATTAAAATGACATTTTCTTTAATCAAACACTCTTTTTTTCTAGATTATGATCTTTCAATAATGGAAAAATAAGAGAAGAAAAAAACAAATTAAATCAAGTTATACCATTTATGGTCACTACTAGTAGTGACTAGTGAGTGTAGTGACCATAAATTAAGCTAGCGAGATAAATTAGTTGATAAATATTTGGATAATACCCAAAAAAACATGGTCACTCTTCACTAGCATTACCATAAATTCTCAAAGGAAGAAGAGTGTCTCACTAGTAACCAACTGAGCATAATTTACTCATCTTATATACTCAAATCCATATATACAAATTAAATATGATCTTCTAGCCTTGAAATTCACCAATTTACTCCAACGTTTTAATCAATCTACTCTTCCATGATTAATTAGATATCTAGATTAAATGATGGATACAAATACAATACGGATGATTGTTGGAGTTATCGATATGTGCCTTATCATACTATTCATTAATTCTTTATATTTACGATATTTAACATTTTTTAACCTTCAATAATTTTTCATGAAGGAATTATATCGTTTTGCCTCTTCTTATCCCCATGTAACTCCCCTTGGCATAATGTGCACTTATGATTAATTAGTGATCAATTCAAATCAGATTGTTATGTTGAAACTGTTTTGAATTGTGCAGGTTGAGTATCTTGTGGAATGTCATTTGTGTTGTCACTGATATTGGTCTCTTTATTAAATTCTTATATGTTATCGCTTTTTTTATCTATTTCAACTGACCAAAATATGTACGTACATACTCATATCAACTATGTTGCTTGAACTCTTCAAAATGATGCCAAATGATGCCGCATGTCAGATTTGTCAAAAATACACTAGTGTTCAATTATAAAACTCAAATAGTAATATAAAAACTAAAAAATTATTCTAGTAAATAAGATGTAAGCCATGCGTTTAAAATGCATTACCTTAGATACTATTATAAATACTTTCTTTATTAATATGAAGCTTTAGGTTATTTAATTTGAAGTTCTAAAAAAATTATGATAAAAGAATATTTTTGGTAATGTTTGATTGATCAAATATTTATGATGAAGAGTGTTTTTTGTCAACATTTTGGAGGCCTAAAACAGGTCTAAAACAAACACTTTACTAGATTTAGTGGTTCAAGAGTCCATCCGTAAAGAGATTATGCGCGCAGGATTATTAAAGGCTATCAACTGCTCCTTACTATCCCTCTGTCCACTTTTAATTGTTATGTTACGTTTTTTAAAAGTCAATTTGACTAATTTTTAAATTGAAATTAAATTACATTAATTTGATATTTTAAACAAAAAATTTAGATATTCAAAAACTATACAAAAAGTACTAGAAATTGCAAATTTTTGCATATCAATATGACGGAAAAAATACATCGTAAAATCTTAATCAAAATTTTTATCGTTTCTCTAAAAAAATAAATCATGACAATTAAAAACGGATGGAGGAAGTACTATTAGTATCAACAGGTCAGACTGGTGACAGATAGCCGCGCAATTCTAAACGTATAATGATCAACCAACCATTACATTACTACTCCTACAGTCCTACTGTGTTTATGGAAAGAGCCGCTCAGTAACTGTCTCTAACCGGAGAACTGTACTATCCAATAATAATTGTCTATTATTGACTTGATTAAGATACATGAAATAATAGGGGTAATATGATCATAATATTCTTTGAATATATTAAATTTAATGCTTTGAAAAATGTATTAGATATTGAATATTAGTATTTAATATCAAGAGTAAAATAGACACAAAAAGATAAATTATATTTGATTTTTCAAACTGAACAAGTATTGTTGAACAACTATTTTAAAAAATAGTGGATAATTAAAAATGGATGAAGTGAGTATATCTTTCTAACCATGATGAGTATTAATTAGAGGGGAAATTTTATTGAGAAAAAAAGACACAACTTTGTGGACAATTAATGTGCCATATTTTCTGGAAGCATTGTGAATTGTGACACGGCTCTGCTATATTTAATTTTGTGCACTTTTATTAAGTGCATCTCCTTAACGATCATCTCGTTGAAAACTCGATTCGATTTTCTATCATTTTAAAGCTAGATCTGCACCACATAGCAAGTTCACGAGGCTATGAAAACTATGTAAAGTGCAATATTTACACAATTTTGGATAAAATTTAATTGGACATTAAAAAAAAGGGTTTCCCTGTCATTATCCAGGTTTATAAGGCATGTAACCAGCCATGTGGATACAAGTTATGAACATCAAGGTAGGGTTTCTAAGTTTTTCAACAGCCCATGTGAGAAGAGGACACCAAACAACTCGTCCTTTCTTCTCTGATTTCCATACATCTTCTCTTTCGAAAATAATGCCAAGATAGTACTATTACAATGATGATAAATAGTTCTAACACTCCTTTATATGGTTTTATGTATGAAAATTTTGTTTTGTTGAATAAGTAAGAAATTGACTTTCAACACATACACAGAAAATTAGATAGATCTTCGCACACATCTCACACTAAGTTTTTTTTTTCTTTTTCTTTTAACATAAGAGTAATCCATCTGTCTCAAATTTATATGACTGATTTTGACTTTGGGACGAAATTCAAGAAAGTACAAAAAAATATCTTGAATGTATCAAAATATTCTTTAATTTTATATATTTAAAAATAAAAATTAACAACTCTTTAAATTACTAAAACGTCTTTCAATTGTTTTTTCTACTTTCCTTTTTTCTTTTTTCTTTTACTCTCCCTAGGAGCTTCCACCCCTTTTGTTCCCTTGGTAATTCGAACTCGCAATCTTCGGATTGGAAGTGAGGGGTGCTTACCATCCGAGCAACTCCCTCTAAGTTCGTTTAAAAAGGAATATCTCTTTTATTTTTTTGCAACATCTTAATTGTCTGTCCACATGTCATATCTAAGACGACAATCTTAAAGGTCATTTCCATACATTCAACATACTTTTAATTTGAAATCACAAAATACATTGTTTTTTAAAATTTTGTATCAAATTAAAATATAGGACAAACAAATTAAAACGAGGTGGAGAGGAGGAAGTAGTTCCCTTTTTCATCATTCCTACTAAAGTCACAATTCTGAAAGTAGGTTGTAGGTCCTCCTAATTGGTTTGGTTAAAAAAGATTTGGCGTTAAAGGAACGGAGGCGAGATCTGCGCCTTGATTTAATACTACTACCTTTTGGTGGAAGACACGTTGAGTGGCGTGTCTGGTTATCTGATTCTTCTTCATCACAAGTCACAAATTCACAAATACAATCAATCAATCCCATCTTTAATTTGCTTTGAGGGGCCCTACACTCACTGATAGGTGAAAAGTAAGTAGAGTGATACCATACTCTTATCAAACTAAACAACAGACAGAATCTTGTACCTCCTTAATTCACTTGCTCATTCTTTAATTACCTGGGCCAACACCATCGATCTCAAATTTCAGATGGTCTTTTAAAGATCAAATTATTATCTGCTAGTACATATTATGTCGCTTGAGCATGGTACTGAAATAGTTATCACATTTCATTTTTTTAGAAATAAATTTAATTAATCTCTACGGTTAAAATAGATTAATCAAATATTTTAAAAGTAAAATTTAAATATTTATATGAATATGCATATTGATTTGGTGAAACATTACATCTTAAAATGTTAGTCAAAGTTCATGTAATTTGACTCAGGAAAAGTGAAATGTGACGAATATTTTGGGGAGGAGGGAGTAATAATCTAATTAATTACCCCTGGTACAAAGAATGTATCCATTGTTACAATTTAATCCATCTTTATCCCTGGGATTTGGGAATCTAATTGTGCAGACAAGTTTCTTCCATCATCTCAAATGTACCGGCATCAGCATTTGAACAGGAGGTTAATAGCGCAAAGTTCGGACCAAAGTTAAACTCTTTTGATCATCCTAGAAAAACATATTTGCTTCTTACATCTCATAGCATGAACGTAACAACTCCACAAGAAAGTTATAATAGTACATCATTTTCTAAGGGAGAAAAGGGTAAAAAATGTCCTTAAACTATGCGAAAGGAACAAAAATGCTCTCTGTTTGTAGCTATAGAGACATTTTTGGTCCAAAGTATTGACTGGAAGGATGTTTTTGAACCAAAATATTGACGGCAGATGCATTTTTGTTCCTTTCACATAAGTTTAAGGACATTTTTTATTCCATTTTCTAATGTCCCTTCTCTTCACTGGACTCGGTGTGACTGGGAGAGAATTAGTTATTCTTGGCCTATGCTGCGCGGACTACTAAAATATGTACTCTGAATTAATCATTTTCCCCTCCATTCAACATTTCTGATAATCTCTTTGAATTCACTTGTTGTCGATCTATGCGTGTGAACCATAATGACCATTTAAAGCAAATCTGGTTAGGCCATCTTAGTCCAACTGTTAAACCAAATTGGAAACTAAACATCTGGCTGTTCTGTTAATGTGGGAGTCAAGAAATGAAGCAAGGGCACTCTTCATCGCTAACTCTTGCAGCTATCACTCCGAAGAAGCCAACTTCAAAGTAAACAAATGATCTAATTTAGTACTCCATTTAATTCAATGTCATGCTGAAATTGTGTTGCGTTATCTAATTATTCATCCTTCTTGCATGTTTACGTTGCAATGAATGATGGAATTGGGTTATCTGGGCCTCGATTTTAGGCAATTGCAAAGTGTAGGTGATCATTTGATTGACACGATTAGCTTTCAAATCTAATCAAGAGTTCTGTAGGCAAGAACGAGGTACAATTTCTTCCCAAGGCCTGCAAAGTTCACAAAGAACAAGTTCCCTCCTTGATTTACCCAACAACTTAGGCTATATGAACCATTTCGCAGTGGTGCTAACAACCCCAGAGCAAATACTTTATTTATTTTCGAGGAACTGTACATGTGTAATAGCAGAAATATGCTTTATGTATCAAAAAAGGACAAAAAAATATATGATGATATTCACAAGACAGTATTGATCTCCTGCTTCCTTATTTCCCTGTATAATAAATAAGCACACCTTAACCTATTCATTGAGAACTCATAGTTCTGATGCAGAGTCTCCCTCAAGACTACGAGATTGATCCAAAGAAGATGATTCTCTTCCAGCAGAAAAATAAGACCACGATAAGACAGCAGAGCCTATTGTAATTGTAGCAGCAACCGAACCCCATATCAATTTCTTCTGCCTTCTCTTCCTTATTTGCCTAAGACGCCGCGCTGTCTCTGCACAATCCAAACAAAAACAGAGAAACTGTCATTTTTTCTATGAAACAGACAGCGCCTGCTGGTAGATCTCCTCCTCAAACAACCACAAAATAACTCAGCAGAATAAAATGAAATAAAAAGGATCACTACTTCGCATTTACCCTAATAAACTGCGGGTACCAAGATTAGATACTCAGCGAAGCAGCCTGAATAGTTGTTACTCAGGATAATATAACTACATCTGTAAGGTCTTCGATGACACACTAGCCTACAAGTTGGCCTATAAACCAAATGTACTCCTGATGTAAGTTATATGTTACCAAGGAAGTCACTAGCCTCAATTTGGTCTTTCATACAGTTATGAAAATCGGATAGCCTGTATGCATAAAATCTAATTTGACATATACTAAGGAGTCAATATGCCTTGCATATAGTGTTTTTGCTCACATGGTTATGAATTAAATGTCCTACTTTGACCAACACATAATACTTAATAGATATGAGAATTGGAATTGAGCATATGTTTAATGTTATTCTTTTATATTTTAAGAAAAGAATACAGAAAAAAACTGCATTTATGAGTGAAAAAGTTCACACTGAAGTTTGGTTGTAGAATAACAGATAGCCCAAGACATTATTCTGGATACACACGAAACATAAACATTTTTCATGGATAGTGGGGAAGATGTTTGCAGTTCAGACGAAACCACTAATGATGACTTCATGAATAAGTTCAGTTGGAACAGAAAAACATCATGCCTGGCTTATGCTTAACTTAGATTACAAATTTGTAGTGGAGAAGAATTACTTTACTAGATCATTATGTTTGTTTTGGCACCTCTTGTTTCTCCGATTCAATGCTGACAACTGAATTTGCAAATTAAAAAGAACATTTTCCCTTTATAATAGCAGATGCAAACACAAAGTTCTTATTCTTTCACAAATCTCAGAAAAGGGAGAAGGCAGTTGCCATCATAGCCTGAACAATATTCCTATTATCTATTTATTTTGAGTAAAATATTCCTATTAAAACTATAAGTCCCTAGTTGCTACCTATCAGCATACCTCATCTATTTTATGTGGATGCAACAAGTTAAAGATTGATAGACACAGAAGTATGAACAACAAATGAAAGATCTCCCCCAAGCATTTGCACCAAAACAATGCTGAGAGAATAGGCACATACCTACTTTAAATATGCAACAACACATCAGCTTCAAATTATACGTAGTAACATGGAGAATAAACTCACCTATAGCTTCCTGATTCCTCTGTGACATCTCTCGATTCACAGCTTCGTAATAATTCAACCTGTCCCATAGTCGAGCTATCTCAAAGTTCTTTGACTCAATTTGAGCCTCAATTTCTGTCTCCAACTCAGCCTTTGCTATTCCCTTACCAATGGACTCTGATACAACCCGAAGGATGTGGACTTGTTGACACAAATCCTCCACCTGATCATCTGGTTGTTCATTGTCCAATTCCTCTCCAGCAACAGGATTAGGAGGAAAGTTCAACCCCACGAGAGATAATCGTTCACGAATCCTCCGCCACTGGGTTTGCATATTAGTTAGAACTTCTTCTACTTGCTTTCGCTTTTCAATTTCTGTTAATAAGCTCAATCTTATCTCTCGTAGCTCATTTTCAAAATCATTTGTAGGTATCTGTGGCCCATTCTCTGAAGATAGTTCTGAAAAGAGGATGCACATAAGACGACCAAAAATAATGTTATACTAGTATTACTATAAGCATGGTGATGACATACAATTCTCAATAACTGGTCACAAGAAAAAGGAAAAGGCACTCAATGGCAACAAGGTATTTACATAGAACACCAAAACTTGCATAGTTGACTGAAAAATGTAGACTCTACAACTATGCATCAGGGAGAAAAGACAGAAGCCACTGTGACAGCCAGGAAAAGAAAAGGAAGAAAACAACAAAGAGAACATCCAAACTATTACTAGAAGAGGAACAATAAGCACCTCAAGTTCAATTTCAATGTAAGATAAAAAGATATAGCCATGAAAATTATCAAATTATGAAAAGGTGACTACCTTCCCAAGCATCATAAAATTCTCCCATCGGGGTCATGGAACTTAAACAGCGCTGGAATCCACCATTACTTTCACTCTCACTGAAACTCCTGACACTCAGAGATTCCTGTGGGTCAAAGAAATCATCAGCTTCACCCCCTCTCCGCAAATTGAATGCAACAAACTTCATTGTACCATTTTGCCCAGCTGAACCATTATGCAAATCTTGGTGAAGAATCTCCCCATCACAGAGGTCAGCCACTTCACCACCCTTAACCAGGTTATCAGTAGTGAATAACAAATTATCCTCTTTCGCACAGTTAACTGTCTCCCTAGAAATAGAAGGGTCATCAACAGATGTACTGGGGAGGTCCTTCTTTGTGTCTCTTAACTTCTCATCTATCTTCTCTTCATCAAAAGCTTGTTGTTGAGTGCCAAAATCATCTTCGGTGAAACTTTGTGAAAGGCGTGGACCTCGGCGCTTGTGATTGATTATGTAGGGTGATGGAGGAAATGACGAAGGAGAATCTGGAAATGAAGGAGAATCTGGAAGTGGTGTTGGCTTGGGAATTGTGTATAGTGCAGGAGATATTTGAGTCCAGTGGTCTTTTTTATCTCCTATTATCGAGGGCTTACCATTGGTATCATCCATCTTTACATTAGTCTGGATGATTTTCCTTTCTAGTTTTGAACTAGAACCATTCTTGCTTCTATCAAAACTTGAATTAGGAACGTTGATCCTCCTCTCAAACTTTGATTCATGAATGCTTTTGGAAGTTGTCGTGGATTTCGAGCCCCCTGATTCTATTAATCTATCCATAGCTATTGCTGTATATGTCGGCATGGCTTACTATACCAACAACACCTATAAAAAATAACAGTTTACACATTGCACAACAACCAATTAATTCGTTTTCCTTTACGAATACATAAAAGACATCCTAGCAAATAATCTGATCCTTAAGATAAAAGAATAGCAGCATAAAAAGGGGAAAAACTAAAGGAAATTGAAGTTGTTTCAAACTCTGATATTAAAGTACCAAGCAGATAAATTCCATGGAATCGCAAAGGCAAGTTGACAAAATCTAGAAATGTTGGTATTTATTAATACAATGTTCGAATTCTCAAGTCCAGAATCATGATTGCATGTTAATCCACCTTGTTAAATTAGGTCTTGAGTCTAACTCACACCAAAAGCTAGTTCTCTCCCTGTATTGTTCAAAGAGATTGAAAATTGTTTTTGGGGTGTGAATTAGGCCTAACACCTAATTTAATATGGTATCAGAGCAGGATCTATTTCATCCAATGTTGGGGCCTCCAAAATCAAAATTGTTCACGCACCAGATTCTAAGCTCTAGTGTGAGATGGGGTGTTAAAAAAATGACAAAAAGTCTCACATTGGTGGTTAATGAAATATGTGTTCTCATTATAAGGCCCCGAGAATACTCCTCACTTTGAGCTAGTTTTTGGGTTGAGAGTTAGACTTAAAAGACCTAATTTAATACACCTAAATTCTACTTATCACCTATCAATTTTTAAATCCATTCATCCACACCTAGAAAGAAGAATCAATATGAATGAAAGTTGAAATGATAATTATAGGTCCAAAATGATGAAATTAAATGTGTGAAAAGCTTCAACAAATACAAATGAAAACAACAACAGAGAAATCCGATTCAATAGGGATGAGGGAGTTACCTGAAGATGGGAAAGAAACCCTAAGGGAAAGGAAGGGGAGTCAGACGGTAGGGGGAGAGATGCAGAAATTGAGAATCGCGATTGTCAAAGGTCATGATATTTGATTAAAGGTAGAAGATGAACAAGTTACCATTGATGCAGAGGGCTTGTTCTCTTTCTCTCCCCTAAGTCTAACTCAGACCCTGGCCTTTCGGAGAAGGCAAAGAGCCTGTTCCCTAGAGGCAAGGTACCCTCACGGTCATGGAATGCTTCTTTCTTCCTTCTTTCTCTGTCTGTTTGTTAAGTAAGTAGCGTCTTTTCCTTTCCCTGCGTGACTCTCTTCTATCAATTACACCTTCCTTATTTCTCTCTATCTTTCTCCTCCCCTCACCCAATCAAAGGCCGAAATGCAAACACAACCACTTTTATTATTATTCTATCAGATTCTTTTATTTTGTCCTACCATCAATAGGTCACATCACGTCCCTTTCTTTTCTTTTTAATTCATAGTTAACACGCGTGACCAAATTTTCTATTTAGTAATGCTACAATTAGATTACATTTTCTTAATTGAAAGACTTATAAGTTGTGTGGTTTGGCTAAATTGACCAAGTTCGTTGATTTACTTGTGACAACGATTGGAACACTTTTTCATTGGGAGTTCCCTTTAATTTATTCTAAACTATAATATAAAAGGAGAAAATGATTTTTTTATTTTTTTAATTGATGTGTTGGAAAGTTGAAGGGGAAGCTATAAGGACCATATATTCCACCTAAATTGAAGGAATTTCTGCCAAGTGTCATCACAAGGACTTTTTTCATATCCCTAGTCAACCGAAGGGCTAGAAAGCTCCAAAAAAATATTTGCCCACGTAGGACCGTTAGCCGAAAAAAGCATAGCAAAGGCCACCTGCAGCAGCAAGGAGTGGACCGACAGTTAAAATTGGCGGCTCTACCTTTTTCTTTTTTTCTCAAGTTCGCATAGTTCTGACATTTCTAATCTTCAATATCATGTGTGTTGACATTACTAGTAAAAAAATTCCTTTTTTCTCAAGTTCGCATAGTTCTGACATTTTTAATCTTCAATATCATGTGTGTTGACATTACTAGTAAAAAAATGTAGAAGTTTTCAGAAGGGGTAAAAAAAGAAAAAGAAAATACATTCACATTATCAACAACAACAACAGAAAAAAAGCTCGTGATCATAAATACAAAGTCTAATAATTTTGGACCACGTGTAGATCTCTATTATTCTTCCCTTCATAAATAAACATTGACTATAACAATTTACTAATATAAACAAGTTCCATATTTCTAGAATGCTCATTTCCTCACCGCTGCTCTAAGCCGACTTTCTTTAATTTGTGCACTGTTTAGAAGTAGGAAAGGGCATCGTTTATTTTTTAATTAGGGGCAGGGAAGGGGTAATGAGAGAGGAAATTAGAAGGTGGAGAATGGTACGTTATTAATAAAGTGAAAGTTTACGTAATTATTCAATTGAGTAAGATTGAAGTAATCATGTGATGTGTAATTTAGTAAATCAAACTTTAGGAAAACATAAAGACAAAAGAGAGATATGTTAAAAAAGTCACAAACATTTAATGTTATTCGGTCAATTGATCTATTTCACAAAAGGCAATGAACATCCACAATATAGTCTTAAGAATTTTTAGAGTTTCGTTTAGAGGATAATTTATAAGACACTTGTGTCACCTCTTTTTTAAGTGAATTTTGTGAAGAACTACTATAGGACGGAGAGCGTAATAAAAGGATCTGATCCGCAAAGGAAATGAATTTCCACAATGAATCATTACAGTCGTGAATTTTAACTTTTAGGGTGTGTTTGGTACGAAGAAAAATGTTTTCGCGGAAAACAAGTAGATTTTGGACTTATTTTCTCATGTTTGGTTGGTGAGTAGAAATTTTTTTCCGAAAAAGATTTTTTAGTGTTTGATTAATGAATGAAAAATGTTTTTGAGAAAACATCTTTTATTACTAGAGAGTGGAAAATAACTTTTGAATTGAAATTGAAAATATTTTTAAAAAATAAACTTAGATTATTTTTTTTTGGGGGGGGGGGGGGGTAGGGGTGAGATGGTGTAAAAAAATAAAAAATTGAAATTGCAAATATTTTTTAAAAACAAACTTAAATTTTTTTTTGGAGGGAGTGGGGGCTGGTAGGGGGTCGCGGGTAGGGCATGGGGATGGGGTGAAAAAATAAAAAATTGATATTGAGAATATTTTTAAAAACAAACTTAATTTTTTTTTGGAGGGAGTGAGGGGTTGATGGGGGGTCGCGGGGTAGGGGATAGGGGGTGAGGTGGGGTGAAAAAATAAAAATTGGAAATTGGAAATATTTTTTAAAAACAAACTTAAATTATTATTTTTTGGGGGGGAGGGACGGGGGTAGGGGTGAGGGTGGGGTCAAAAAAAAAATTAGAAATTGGAAATATTTTTTTAAAACAAACTTTAAATTATTTTTTTTTGGGGGGAGGTGGGTGGTATGGGGCTGGGCCGTGTGGGGGGTGGGGTGGGGACGGTTGAAAAATAAGAATTTGAATTTGAATTTGAAAATATTTTTTAGAAACAAACTTTAATTTTATATTTTTTTGGGAGGGAGTGGAGGGGGGTGGCTGGGGGAGGGGTCGAGGGTAGGGATGGAGGTGGTGTGAAAATAAAATTTGAAATTGGAGATATTTTTTTAAAATAAACTTAAAATATTATTTTTTGGGGGTAGGGGCTGGCAGGGGGGTAGGGTGAGGATGGGGTAAAAAAAATAAAAAATTGTAATATGAAGTTGGAGGAGAGTTTTGGAAAATATTTTTCTTAATTTTTGAAGGGAAATCATTTTCCTTAAATTTGAAAAAAATAAGTTGATTTGGAAAACATTTTATCCAATCAAACATAAAAAATTTGAAAAACATTTTCCGAAAAATGTTTTCCTTCATACCAAACACACCCTTAATGATTATCACTATTTCGCTCCAACGTCTTCAACAATTGCCTGATTCAAAGATTTAACTTTTATATGTATGTACTCAAATATTATACTGTACGTAATTATTTTATTGTACCGCCCATGCCACTTACTCGTGTTCTAGAAATTCAAATAAATAGCCTGACTTACTGGGGTGGTACTCAGATCTCCATTGTTCCCATTTGTTCATAAAGAAATATGGTATTGAACTATTGATCACAAAATGTTATGTCTTGAGTTTGATTCTCACGCAATCTTTGACCAGAAGGGTTATAACATTATAATAACCTTATAATGAAACTTTTTGATGCAAACTCAATTTATTCTAATTGTTGAAATAGATAAAAGATATTGAATTTAAAATAAAAATTAAAGAAGTACACATGTGTGTATTCAACATATACATATATGTATACTTTCACTTAATAAGTGAGTAAGAATTCTTTCCATTCTTTTTATTTAGGCTTAAGTCATCCATAGCCCCTTAAAGTTGTTTGCATAATTCATTTAGACACCTTAACTATGATTAGTACCTATTAGACACTTCAATATTAACAAATATGTATCTATTGAACACAAAATGATAATGAGCATAAAAAGTATTGTGCGTGTAGGTATTTTGATAAAGTTATCAATAAAATTGTGACACGTGGCCCACAGCCCAATCTAACCATTAAAAAATGAATTTTTAATTTTGAAAGATAAAAAATAATTTTCAACCCTAATTAATCTAATCCCACCTACTGAAACCTTTGCCGTTCTTCTTCTTCTCTAGACACTCGCCGTTCTTGACTCCTCCGGCGGACCACTTTTCTTTTTCTTCTTATTACTCCTACAAATTATAGGGGTTAAGTCTATTGGTGTAAAATGTGTAGCTTAGCAAAGTAATTTTTAAGATGCTTGTGAAAAATAAATCGACGTAAATCATTTTGAAATCAACGGAGAAGAGAAATCGAGAATACTCAAAATAATTCTATGAAATTTATGATATCATTTTTAATTATAAACTTAATTAGTTTACATTTTAATTTGAATAGTGATGTCTGTTTAGAGTGGCCAGAAATAGAGATAAACGAAGGTCAACTAACTTTTTTAACTTCAAATGCCTGAAAATCTTCTTTCTTGCAAAATCAAATCAATTAGTAGATTCGAATTTTATATATATAAATGAAAAAAATGAAATAACAAAGAAAAAAAAAAGTGCAGAAAGTTTGGGTGAAGAAGACGATGGCCGGAATAAGGGTGAAGTTGATTTCTTTTCTTTATCAAGAAATCAATTTTATATAAAAAATTCTTTTTAGTAATTTTAGTGCCAAGTGTCAATAAAACAAAAAAAAGTACAATTTTTTAAAAAAAAATAAAACTAAAATACTATTTGAACCTATTCACGCGCCTAATAATAAGTGAGGTACACTTATATTGCCATATCAGTGTTTTGTGTTTAATAGGTACATGTTTTATACAATTTAAGTGTTCAATAGATACAAGTCTTAGTTAAGGTGTCTAAGTGAATTATGCGGACAACTTTAAGGGAGTGTAAATGACTTTAGTCTTTTATTTATTACCTTTTTTTTTAAGAATCAAACAATATAATTTTTTATTAATATATGTATTTTTCATCATATTAATATAAAAAAAACACAACTAAAAGGAACGGATGGCGGATGGAGTTATTAACTGATGCTCATGATGGCCACATGATACCGCTGCTCCAAGTTGACTTTCTCATAGTTTTTTTTTGGAATAAGGGTATGAAAAATATTTTAACTTTGATTGAATTTATTGTTGCGATACTAAACTTTCATGAGGATCTATTACATCTCTAGACTATTCAATATCATATTTTAAACATATATGCCCACGTGGACATAAAAAATAATACAAAATTATAAATAGTAATGTGTCCACATATATACCTTTAAAATACACTATTAAATAGTTTAGGGGTAAAAAATACGGTATTAAATAATGTAGGGAGATAATAGGTCCTTATGAAAGTTTAGTATCGCAACAGCAAATCCGATCAAAGTTGAGATATTTTTCATACCCTTATCCCTTTTTTTTTTTTGTCTTGAAAAAAATTGGACCATATTTCTCATAGGCAATGCTAAATTTTTCTGTATCGTTCGTTTCTTAGCTCCTTATACGCTATGTATTTAGGAGTAGGATTTAAGAGGGCGGTGGATCAAAGTTAAAGGAAATCAAAAGATTTTTTTTGCTCGTAATTAATAAATTAAGAAGGAAAATGAATATTACTCATATCTCACAATTTATTTACGTAATCAAATTCATTACTCTTCATCGGTTCATCCCGTGTTCTCCTCACCTGGCAAAACCAGCAAACTCCGGATTTGGTGTATTATTATTATCAGCATTAGTTTCCAGTTAAAATTGTCAACAACGTAACTTGAACTGAAAGTCCAAATTAAAAATTGTGCACTGACATTTTGCAAAAACAGTTTCTGGCCTTCGCATTTACACAGTTTATCCGAATCTCTCGAAAATATACTAATTAAGAGAAAGAAAGAATTCAAGGATCTTCTTAATATGTATCAACAATTTAATGGTAATTTGCATGATTACATGGACAGCTTGACAAGAGTATATATCGATCATTTATATCAACTCCAAATTTTAAGGATCTCTAAAATCACATGATGATATGAGTTATTATTATTATTTATTAAATGTTATCGACGAGATCTTCTGTACCAGAAAATAAAAAAATAAAGCTGTCTCATCATAATTACCGAATTTGTTTGAATCAATTCACCGCCGTGGTGAAGTTGGAGGAACTGAAGAAGTCTGCAAAACATCACCAAAACCTCCTTCTCTAACATACTGAATGTACCTCGAGAATTCCGGCCTAGCAGTTGCCTTCTTCTTCTTCTTCGTTTCGAATAGACTGAATATCGGGTGAATTTTGCTCGCTTTTTTTGCCTCCTTATTCACTTGAGGACTCATCGGAAAATTCTGCTCCGGCGTCGTCACCTTTCTTGATGGACTAAAAAATTTAGCTGCCGAAACGCTTCTGTTTCGGTTCAATTTTGGCTCTACTAGTGGAGTTGATGGTGCCTCCTCTTTAATCAATTCATCATATCCGCTATAATCTCTTCGTGTGCTCAGTGCTCTAAACATGGCTACGCTAAATTAATTAACGAAACTCTCAGATCTATTGATAATACTATGATGGAAGAAAGAAGAGAAGAAAAATTGGTCCTATTGAGAAATGTTAATGTAACAATGAAATATTAAATAGTTTTTGTTTAGTTGGCTGGAAAGTGGACTTATTTAATTGTTATTAGTTGAGGTATTCTGACATTAATACGATATGTGGCCTTATTTTTCAAAATTTGCGTACGCCTTATGAACTGCGAAAGTTGAAATTTCGTTTTCATGGCGAAGCTAACAGCTAACTGTCTGACTTTTCCAGTAACAAAATCAACTAATTTAATGCAAGTGGGACCACATGAAGAAAATAGAAGGCCATAAAGTTAGCTTGCACTATGTATTCTTCATTTATCTCTGGTTATAGAGTTGCGACAAATTTAATTTTAACCTTGTGTAAGATCAATTTAAGAAAGAAAAAATTTCTAATAATTTTTTTTTTAATTCAAAGCTCAAAATGAAAATCAAAACCTTTTAGAATGTTTTTTTATTCATCTTATCACAATTTCTATTAGTATTGCGCATGCTAAGGAAGATGTTGCCACTTGCCACCACATGCATCTATATCTAATGAAGGGTCAACTAATGCTTGGATATATTAAGGTCTGGGACTATTTATTTTAATTTTTTAACTGTTAAAAAAGAAAATTGGGTATGATAAAATGACTAGCCGAAAAGCAGACATGTTTGAATGAGTACGCCCTTTCCAGTGAAAACATGAAATTGAAAAGTGGATAAATTAATAGTGTAATTGATTAAGCCAATAACCGACATGTTTGAATGAGTATGCCCCTTTTAGAAAAAGCAGGAAACTGGATTAGTAGTTTGTTCCTTTCAACTTTATTTTAAGTAAATATTACTAATGTATTTCCTTTAGTTTTAAATTAGAGACATTTTCTTCCTTCTAACCAAGCAATACATTATTCAAATTATGGAATACCTTCTTCCAAATTATGGTTTTTAATTCATTCAAAGACTAAACAGAGGTCTAATTTTAATATTTTTCATTTTTTTTACTTATGTTAAGAAATTCACTTAATAGTTTATTGAGAACCCATAAAAACACAAAATTCTGAATCTATTTATAAGTTGAACAGTTAGAGAAGTTATTCGGAAGAAATAAGATAAAACAAGTTTGCATTATGACGTATATTTACACGTACACTTCATTACAATTGAATATCATGCTCATCAGCTCCAAATTGTTAAGTTCCGTAAGACCATATATAGTAAACCAATTTATAAAATAAAAAATCAATGATCGTCTTAATTAATTCTGTACCACAAAATCCAAATTAACTTACGTATAACATATTTTAAATCACTAATTAACTGCAGCCAAGATGGTTTTGTAGGAATTAAGTAGTCGTCTGCAAAACATCTCCAAAACCTCCCTCTCTAAGATACTGAATGTACCTTGAGAATTCAGGCCTAGCAGTTGCCTTCTTCTTCCTCTTCGTTTCGAATAGACTAAATATCGGATGAATCTTGCTCACTTTTTTTGCTTCCTTTACCTGAGCACTTGCACGAAAATTGTCCTCGGATGTCACCTTCTTCGATGAAGAGCTAAAGAATTTAGCAGCAGCAGGAACTGTTCTGTTTCTGCTCAATTTTGGCTTTCCCAATATTGGAGCACTAGCCTCCTCCTCATCTTCCTTATTCAATACTCCGTATCCTCTGTAGTCCCTTCGTGTACTCATTGCTCTAAACATGGCTTAGATTTAACTATTTGGTGTATAAGTTACAAAAAAAAAGAAGTGAAACAGCACCCAAATTTCTTTAATTATAGGCTGCTTAAAATGAAGGAAGAGATTGAGAGATGAAGAAAATAAAACATACTATGTGTTATATAGGAGTAGTAGTTAGGTTGGGGCTTATTTAATTGTGGTCTCACTTTTCAAAAATTGCACGTGGTTCTTTGATAGTCTATTGCTGAAGAAACCCGGAACTTTCCTTGTTTTGACTTCTCCTCATAAATATTTATTATATAGTGCTACTCTGACCATAATATATGGAAGAAAAAAACAAACAATTTAATAATAATAATTGAAGTGCGACCGTAGACCTTCCTAATTCTAACAAGGCATGCTATGAAAATGTATTTTTTAGTAGATGTTAAATATAATATTTTTTAATTTTTGTTGCTGTATCTTTCTTTTCATTGATTGAAAATAACTAATGTGGATAAACATTACTTTCTCCGTCCATTGGAATTTTGAGAATCAATTTAGTATCTCTTATATGTTTTTTAAATATTATAAGTTGTTAATTATTGTAATTTATAATATTTTTGAATTAATTTTTAAATTTTATTTCAAAAACTTAAAATTTTTATGTTTGCATTCAGTACCAAAATTTAGAAGTCTAAATCTCAAAATTCAAGTGCGCCCTATAAATTGGGACGTATTTGATTGGTAAAGAAAGACCAACAAATTTGCATATGTTTGGACGAGTATTCTTCTCTAAAGCAAAAAATATGGATAAGAAGTTTGTTGTCTTACATTATTAGATAACTGTCATTCGCCATAGGGCCATTTTGTTGGCGAATCAATCATTTGAGTATCATGAGTGTTTCTTTATTTTTTGCTTGAATCATTGTAACACATTTATAATGAGACTAATCAAGCTTTAGATAATCCTTTTATATTCCAAAATCAAAACTTAAACCTTCCTCTATATATAATAGAAGCTAAATACATTGATCAATAGTTATACCTATATTACAAACTTAGCTTTGGCAGCTTTAATTTTAGTCACTAGAATGGTTCCAATAAATAGTTGTTACATATTCAATGAATTTCTCAATATAAATACAACATCCATGCAAAAGTTATTGGGTTCTCAAAACTCATTAATTATGTATTCGGCTAATATTCTAAAGAAGCAAAATTAAGGAACCCGCATTGGGAGGAAGTGGTCTGCAGTACATCACCAAAACCTCCCTCTCTAAGATACTGAATGTACCTCGAAAATTCAGGCCTAGCAGTTGCCTTCTTCTTTTTCTTCGTCTGAAGTAGACTAAATATTGGGTGAATCTTGCTCGCTTCCTTTAGGTGAGTATTCACCCGGAAATTGTCCTCGATCGGATGTCACCTTCTTGGACGATGAGCTAAAGAAGTTAACAGCAGCTGGAATCGTTCTGCTTTTACTTAACTTTGGCTCCAACATTATCAATTCATCGTATCCTCTATAGTCTCTTCGTGTACTCATTGCTCTAAACATGATTTCAATTAAGTAGTAGTACTCACGAGTAATAAAAAATTGGAAAAATTGTATAAGATAACAAACTATTAATTCAAATTAAATATTATAGCCATAGTTTATTTTATTTGTAATTCACAACAAACATCCCATTTTTTGTCATCTGGTTCAGTATACAATTAGCCATTTTCGGTATACAATTACCCATTCGGTATACAAATATATAAAATGCGTTTATGTTTGTATAAAGCGAGAGAAAAATGTATATACAAATAGAAATACACATATTTTCGTCCTATACACTTATAATTATACAAATACATATCTTATTATACAATTACAATGTATAAATGAATTTATACAAAACTGAACAATTTGTACAAAATTGGATGTATCTAATGAATTATACAAATCAAAAGCTCCATAGCAAACATAAAATTTGCTATGGAGCGCAATTATGCAAATTATAACTATAACATACAAATATGATTTTTATATTTGCTATATGTAAAAGTTGTTCATTAAAATAACACAGCTCCCAAATGTTCTCGAACTAGGCTTAAAATGAAGGAATTAGAGATTAGTATTAGATTAGAGAAAATAAAGGATAATGTTATACTCCCTCCATTTCATATTAATTGAATTGTTGAGGCATTTTCATTTTCAAATTAATTTAATTATTCAATTTTCAAGACTATTTTTAGAATATTTTTTCAATTTTACCCTTCATTAGTTAGTATTGGAATTAGTTATTAATTAATGTTTAGTTATTTTAATCATAAATTTGACAATACTTAATTAATAAGAGTAAAAATGGAAAGTTATACCTAATTTATGTTTTAATCTTCTTTTCTTAAAGGATGTGAAACACTTTAATAATTTAATTAATTTGAAATGAAGAAAGTATAGTAGAGTTAGTTAGGTTGGGCAACTATATACGTTTGAGGTATTTTTAGTAACACATATATATGTGGCCCTCTTATTTTTCTTAAGTTGCGTGTGCTTGTGGTTGTAAGTATATGGCTTAGCAGAGTTTGTTTTGACTTTCTCGTCGGAAATACAATTAATTTTCTTGATTCCAACAAGGCACGCTATGATTATTACTCGGAGTACATGTTTTTTTTTCTTCTGGATGAAAATAAATCAATTCGGATAAACTATTTAATTACTCATAAGCCAACGTATCTGATTGAACGAGTATACTCCTTTTTAGAAAAAATAAGAAAATATTAAAAAAAAAAAGGCGTCATGTCGTATGAGTATTTATTTATTATATTTTTTATTAAATTATTGTACCACCTTTAATATGTGATTGATTAAGTTTTGCCTTTTTATATTTCAAATTCAAGACTTAAAGCCATCCTGCATAATAGAAGTCGATTAAATTAATTTAATGATACACCTATATCTCAAAATCAAACACCTAGCTAGAGACCACCTGTATAATACGGGTTAAGTGTTTAATTTTGAAGAATAGAGGCTGTATTTGTAAACTAAACATATATTCAAGTGAAGTTATTAAATGGAAAATTGAAACTTATTGGTAATATTTATGAAATTTTAAAAGAATTTGATAAGTAAAAGGAAAATGTGATAGTATATACTTCTAACAAATTTTAAAGGAATTTGCTATAATGGGCCATTTGAAAAGACGGTTAAGAACATACAACATCATTTGTACGCAGAAGTTGCCTGCATATACAATTTAGCATAAATAATAGGAGTATACTATTATAAGACTTATTATATTCTCTCAGTTTCATATTAGTTGTCACATTTCTTTT